AACCTTACTCCGCGAGAGACGCTGGACCCTCTACTACTCTGGAGTTGCCTGCGGTGAGAGGCGGCAGGCTGGTGTGGGTTTGCTCATAGCTCCCCAGCTTAGCCGCCATGTGTTGGAGTGTACCCCGGTGAACGAGAGGGTCGTTTCCCTGCGCTTTCAGGTCGGGGATAGGTCTCTCACCGCCGTTTGTGCCTACGGGCCGAATGGCAGTGTAGAGTACTCGGCTTTCTTGGAGTCCCTGGGAGGGGTGCTGGAAAATGCCCCGACTGGGGGACTCCGTTGTTCTACTGGGGGACTTTAACACTCACATGGGCAGCGACAGTTATACCTGGAGGGGCATGATTGGGAAGAACGGCCCCCCCGAGTGGTGTTTTGTTATTGACTTCTGTGCTAGTCACAGTTTGTCCATAACAAACACCATGTTCAAGCATAAGGGTGTCCATCAGTGCACATGGCACCAGGACACCCTAGGCCGGAAGTCGATGATCGACTTTCTGGTTGTTTCATCTGACCTCCGGCCGTATGTCTTGGACACTCGGGTGAAGAGAGGGGCGGAGCTGTCAACTGATCACCACCTCCCGAAACCCGGTGGTGACAGCCGGAAGTAACGGATGCTGAAGAAGGATTCCTTTCGAGCCTGGTTGGCTCAAGGGACTCCTGCGGCAGCTGACGGGTACCGGCAGACCAGACCAGACCGACCAGAATATTGAGTAGAATTAGTCAATGGGCAGAACTTAAATTGGCTACAGTTTTAATAATCATTTGTGACTTTTAAAAAAAAGTTTTTATCATCAAATATGCATTTCCTGGTTCTTATTCTGCTGATTGTAAATAATTTTGGCCTTTGAACCGTTTGTCTACTAAAAGATCACATTTGTAAATTTTCCCATGGGCTCTTAGAACTTGTGATGGACAGTTTTCACATTTAACAGATTTAAGGATTAATCAGTTAATCAATAAAATTAATTAATGATTAGTGATAATGAAAATTGTTGTTAGTTGCAACACTAATAAAGTTTTAAATCTGCAAATATTATATCCTTAAAATTACAAATTGCTCTAATATAAATAAAAACAAAAGTCTACAGTCAATTAGAGAAAGTGTCTCTGAGATTGCACTTGTCTGTGCAGACATGTACAGTGTATTCTGTTCAATATTCGTTAGCAGTTCATTGATTCATGTCTGTGTCCCAAACTCGGGAGGACAACGGCAGTTTCTTCTTTGGTGATTATTGTGGGATTCAGACCTTCCATATAACAGATGCCTTGCTCAACTCCCAAAGGCACGAAAAGGTTCAATGTGATATGATACAGTAGCCTATGTGATGCTGTGGCTGTTAGAACAGACTAACTATAGGACAGGAAAAACAATACACTTCAGCTTGGCTACGACAAACAAGATATGGTAAGTTTAAAAACTCGTTATTCTGCAAAGAAAAAGTAAAAAGTAATCTGGTGTTATATTAGCATTAGTATGTAAAAATGTCACCACTATTCACTGAAAAAAAGTCTAACAAATGAGCCAAACATAAGGCTCAATGTTAAGAGTGTGTGCTCCAATCCAGGAAATAGCCCGAGCCTTCAATAAATGCTAACTTAGGCATTTTTAGCCACAGTGTAGAGTTTTGTTTTGACCGAGCTATCTCCGCCGGATCCTTCTGCCTCACCTCCACCGCCTGCCCCAGCTCCAGGTCGAAGCCGACCACACAGATGCAGTGCAGCCAGGTGGAGAAGCGGTCCCAGGGCAGTAGGAGAGCCTCCTCCGTCTCCTCGTCGCCTCCGGGAACGGGGGGCAGCGTTATCTCCTCGGCCGGAGAGATGCTAGCATCTTGGTCGTCTAGATCCTCCGGCTCTTCGACCTGCTCCCCCAGCTCCTCCGGGCCTTGCAAAGCCATGGCGACGGCCCGACACGGATACTCAGGCACTCTGGAGAATGGTAGCGGTCTTCTAAATAGGTTTACTGGTGTTTTTAGTTACTGCCAACTTAATTTCCACAACAGAAAGGAAGCAGCGATACAGAAAATAGTCACTCAGCTAGCACTTAGCATAGGAGCATGAACGTACGTACGTCGTGGTGACGAATGTAAACGTCATCACGTCCTAAGGCCGTCCCTTAGGACAAGTTAGCCATGATAATTAGGAGCCACTAAATCAACTTTTATGGTCTAAAAGTTAAGCTTTATTAGGATATGTCGAATATTTATGCGAGCAAGTTTTTTCTTTTAAAATTAACATTTTGAGATAATAAGCCAAAAATTATAGTAATCAACATTTTGACTCCCTTAAACAGGATTATCAGATATTTAGTCTTAAAATTGAGCTAGTAAATCAAAAATGTGTAGACAAAATGTTTAGATACTAAATAAAAAATGTTGGCTTTTTTGATTAAAATAATTACATATTCATAATTTTATAGCGAGTCGTCATTTTTAAATTAGGAGAACCATTACCTGGTATATTCTTTGTAAATGTCATCATTTTGCCATCTTAAGTTAAAATTTTATCTCAGAATGACAAACTGATGGACATTGCATGGAACTCCAGCTACTGAAGAAGACTGAAATGCAGTTCACAGAACTGAAATAAACCTAAATAAACCTTTATTTATTTTTTAATTTAGTCCATCTATGTTAGATTAGAACTATAAACAATCTGAATCTTAAAACTCCCTTTTTGAAAAAATGTATAAGACAAACTTTCAGGTAACTTTTCATCGCTTCTTTCCACGGTTTAATAATTACTGTTTTTATATATGTAAAAATTATAACCACATATTTGTGAATTTTGAAGCAGATTTCTTTTCCATGCAAGGGAAACTGACTGAGCTGCAGTGATACTGTATGTCTGGGTGTTTCATCCTCCCCCTATGCTACCGTCTCATTCAGCATTGATTTGGTCTCTGTTGTCAGTTCACCAGAACACAGCAGGGATGTTTCTGGAGCCTGAAGCAGAATTTGATCTCCTCCCACGTTGCTCCACCTTGACCTGCTGTCCCAGTCCATAAGCCAACTCTCCTGGACAAAATCTTATGGTAGAACTGTAAAATACTGTCATTCAGTGTTGCTGTATAAATATACTGATAGGTTACATCTGAGGTATTAAGTATGTGATTTATTGAAAAGAATTATAGCACAACAACAGGCACTTTAGTTTAAAGATAGAGTACATTCCCTAAGTTTGTTGAAACACTTACATAGCCAAAGGGAGCCCCAACTCCTCAATATCCTTCTTCTTCTTCAGCTGTTTTTTAATAGCGGTTGGCAAACAGCTTTAGGTGCATTACCGCCACCTTCCAGACTGGTCCTCAATGTCTTTTCCTTAAATGTTTTCTATTTCTTGTTGTTTTTGATTATTTTCATTATCAAGAGTACTGACAATTATTATTTTGAATAAATTATCAATTGTTTAGTCTATAATGTCAGAAAACAGTAGGAAAACGCCATCATTAATCCCGGAAGCCCAACTAATATCACTGTCACTGACTGGTTTTGAGACACAGCTCATTGGCTGTAGTTTAGATTTATCCTAACTACATCAATCCAGTTGTTATTCTATTCTACTTTATTCTATTTTAGTTCCTAAATGTTATGGCACCCAATACTAGGTGCGAGAGAAACGGTATTTCGATTTTCTGTATGTCCTGCACATATGGTGAGTTGACAATAAAATCCTTGAACCTTGAACCTAATATTCTGATTGCAGTTTTCTGACCAACACTCAAAAACCCAAAGATGTTGATGTTTACAGTCATAGAAACTATTTATAAGCAAGTATTCACATTTAAAAGGCAGGTATCAGGTAACATGCTGGACCTACTCTATTTTTTTAAATAACTTAAATTATGAATCAGTTATCAAAATGTTTCCTACTCATTTTAACCAATGAATCAACTCAACAAAACACTTTTGCCTAGAGGTCATTCAGGTGGGAAATCCGTCATAGCTCTATAATATTTAAGTTATTACCAATTTTAGATTTGTTTCTTTTTTTTCTTGGCAGAAATGGGCTATCATAAAATCCATTTAAAACCCCAAATTAACTGTATACGTTTTCCTCCAAAATTAAGATGACGTTTATTTAGAGACTACTGATTAAATGAGCGGAATGATGTGACTCGGGCAGTGAACGCACCACGCCTGTCTGCTTTTTAGTTACAGTATGGCGGCTGGGACTTGCAGAGGAGCACAACTTCTAGATTCTTTCCAGAAAACTGTAGGAAGCCGACGGCTATAACTCAAATCCGCCACGGAAAACACCCCCTGGACTGGGCGGACGACGACGGCACAACCTCTGGCATGTAGCGAGGCTTTTCCTTGAAGATAATAGGGGTGATGTGATGCGTGAGGACCCAGAGTAAAAAAACTCCCTAGATTTTTCCGCGTCTGTTTCTGTTCTTACTGTCAGTTATCCGGCTAGCTGCTAGGTAGCGCACCTAACCGCTAGCTCACCACCTTTAAGCTAACACTCGCTTGTAGGGCTCCGTAGTAGTCAAAAGACGGGCTAGCATGCTGTTTTTATTTGCCCCAGAAGACAGGGATGGCATTTCGACTCTATTCGGTAAGCGAACTTGTTGAGAAGGGCGGGGAGAAAACATTTGAGGACCTGGATGATAAGTTTGTCAATACTCATTAGCCTAGCCTAGCTTACTGGTACAGCGCCAGAAAACGTCGGCCGAGAGTTAGCGCTTTGCCTGTCTGCTAGCGACCTAGCATTTAGTTGTAGAAGAAGACCTGCTAATCCCCACTTCATTCCGACTGAGTGCTTTGAAGCCACTGCACTAACCAGCTCAGACGACGAGTAGGGACTGAACTACTTTAGTTGGCAAACCTTAAATGACCGTTAATGGTTTATAACTCAGGGGTTTTCTGGTGTTCAGTCTTGCTCTGTGTCGTTAGCGATCTTGTAGGTGTTCTCTGTCAGGTCTGTAACCTTAGGTAGCTATCTTAGGCTCCCTGTATCAGGGCAAAAAGGTCACTCAAATTATGAGAGGCTGTAAATAACGAAGAGACTACAGATGACACATTAATAAACGCCAGACGTGTGTAAACCAGTTAGGGTGTTGCACATTGGGGTGTGTGCGCCTGTTGTTAGCTTGCTACAAGACAGGACTTGCCAGCTAGAAAGTCCGCATTAATATGGTTGCTGCTCCCCAAAAACATTAGATATATAGTTTCCCCAGCTGATAAAACGTTAGATCAGTAGTCGCCTTTATTTGTGTGAACTCTTACCCTCTTGGGGGACTAAAGATCAAGTCTGTGTTGACTGACTGCTTCAGTGCTGGAATAGTTTGATGGACGTGGAAGGCTGTTTGCCAGGTTATCAGCTGTCTCAGTCATGTAAATCTTGACACATGGCACCTTGGTCAGTACACAGTGCCTCCTGTCAGGTATGTGTCGTTATGTAGCTTTGGTGGACAGTTAGTGAATGGAATGTCTTGTCTATTTTATACTTGTTGGTATATTTTTTATTTTCATGTATTTCAAACACAGGAGAGTCGCGTTGAAACAAAGTGGGAAAGTGGTGCAGCCCGGACAGGGTAGAGTGGACAATGATTATTAGTTAGTGCCTAGAAGTTTAAAGGACTAAAAGTTCTGCCTACATATAGGCCACAGATATTGTAGACTGTTCATTGGCGATTGCAACGGACATCTGCCGCTCTGGATCAAGAAAACCTGCCCCTTGTATCTGTTTGGAGTAACACTCTTAAGCCAAAATCAATGCCTTCAGCGCTAGCCATCTTCGCCTGCCGACCCAACTCACACCCATTCCAGGAAAGGCATGTGTACCTGGATGAGCCAGTCAAGATAGGCAGGTCGGTGGCTCGGTGCCGCCCAGCCCAGAACAATGCCACCTTCGACTGCAAGGTGCTGTCCAGGAATCATGCCTTGGTTTGGTTCGACCACAAGACTGGCAAGGTAAGAATGCTGGCATTTGTTTACTGTACTTCCCTCAAATATCTTTCTTTTTACCATGATTTCAAATGAATGTGGTGGTCTGCTTATACTTTCTGATAAATTTGTTTTGTCTTTTGATTAAATGTCATAATTAATTACTTGAGGCCCGTTATCCAACATTCTCCAGCAGTCAGGCTTCTGCAGTAGTCCCACAAACCGTAACTTTGCAAAAACCCACTGACAATTATTCTCAGTTGCATTTAAATCACCAGTGCTTTCACAAATGCACACATATTCTATTACACCTTGGAGCAAGACCTTATCCCAGGTATAAGATAAGAAACGATAAGATAAGATAATCCTTGATTGTTATTGTAACACATACAATGACATTTTTGAGTGACCCCCAGATGGTACAGCAATAGAAAAGAACATAACATATGAAATAAGACTATATAAAAATGAACTTGGATAAGAGCTGAACAGATTTTATTTTCGAAAGTTGCCTTCACATTATGCATGTTTAGAGAGAAAAGTCAAACTTTGGAGCGTCGCCTCCTCTGCACATGTCCAACATTGTACTTGGAAGGTAATACATAATCCCATTTGAGCACATGATGAGTTGTTCCCAAAACCAAAGGGACTATGGGTAGAAAGAAGCAGATGTTGTCCCTCAAGTTAAAAGAGCTCCAGACAATCAATTCTGCATGAAGACATTCTACTAAACCTTTAACAAACTCCCTGTGAGTCATAAGACATCTGAGGGCAAACTGTAGCTGTAATTGTGCAATTTGATCCTGAATGAATAAAATGACACAAATACTTGGCCGATCCTAATCATACTAAAGTTAAACTGGGACTTTCCATACCTGGAGCCCTTCACAACCTGTTTAAACCTGGGATTTTTCCCCCACAGATTTTAAAGACAGAGATCCAAAGCAAACAGTGTTGTAAAGGTTAGGTTTTTTTTTACCTTCAGTTTGATACTGGACTTGTGCCTACCTGATTTCAGCCACAGCAGCTTATTTTGTTATGCACCTTAATTCATAACAAGGTGCATCTGAACAGTTTCATTTCACGGTTTATTTGAAAACAAAGTTTTCCTTATTGGGAGCACTACAGGTTAAAGCTGAAGCTAACCATGTTGTGAGCTAAACTAAAAAGCTGAAACAACAAATTAAAGCATAACAAATGCTGGAACCAGCCAATGTTCAGCATTATGCCATATGCTTTATTTTTCAACTAATCATGTGAACCTTAGTGTCCCCTTTTTATACATTTTGTCTTGTGTAGTAATTTCTGTCATTAGGAAAAGTGTGAGTGTTGAAGATAGCTGGTTCCTTTTATATGTGTGAACAAAGAGAACAGTAAAGATTTTAGCAGAAACCAGTGGCATAGGTAATTTTCCAGACAGGTGTTAAACTTAACTCGGACTTAACAAAATCAGTTCATACAGTATCCACTAAATAAATTCCATGGTCCAGTTCAGGACTAGACTTAATCCTTGTTTGGGAAGCCAGTCTGTTATGTTACTTAAATCCTCAAGTCTGAGACAATACACAGATCAGATGTGTGTGTTGTAGCGTCTGCTGTTGTGTGGCTTCTGTGTGTCTGTAGTTTCTTTGTGGAACAGGTTGGACAGGCCGGGACAGCCACAGGATTACCCAGCTTTGTGGCATGCAAAGACTTTGAAATACTGTGTGTGTGTGGGGGGGGGTGCGTGCTGCATAAGCTATTTATAACAACACTAGTAGCGTCATCCTTTCCTCTCTTAAGGGATAAATGGACACACAGATGGATTGACCACACACTATGCACAAACCAACACATCCAGGTTTTTTGGCACTGACATTCTCTAATATATCCCAGAGTTACTTTATCTCCAGAATTTTTTATGGCTCTAAAACCACCGTGGAGGCTTGGATGGCACCCTTCCACATTAAGACAAGTTTTGGAGCATATGTCTACAACAGTCACATATTGAGGCTTTAAATTATAAGTAATACTCAATAACTATTCTGTCCATCCATTATCCATACTGCTTATACCTGAATAGGGCTGCATGGGGCCAGTCCCAGCTGAAATTGGGCAAGAGGTGAGGTACACCCTGGACAGGTCACTAGTCTTTAATAATAATTGTGAAATATAACAATTAGACATTTTTTGTACTACAAATGACTTCTGTCATTTCTTTCTGCTAACATACTTTATACACGATACTTTTGGGGCTACTCTTACATTTGTTTGCTTATATTCAAAATGAACTCTTAACCAGTGTAATATAATTTTCTTTTTACTGTTTTTGGTCTTATAGTGGTGTTTTGCCTTTTAAGGCCAATATTCAGCTTGATTCAGTTCATTTTCAGGGTGTGACTGTATCACATATGTAAATATGGTTAGAGTTTTTTTCAGTGCAGGGTGGATGCACAAATACAAAATTTACAGCATTAAAATCATGTATATACAGTGACTGTTCAAAGGGAGTAGTTTGGTATTCACTTTTTCTCTTTCTGGCCAACACACAGGAATTAAGTACGCAGACCTGGCTTGCATAACCTTATACCTCATAACTGTAGGTTCCTCTTGCTGTAAGAACATTGTCAAATGAGTGTGCACTTTTAGTTTGTTCAAAACCAGCCGATAGTTTAACTTTGCTCTGGTATTGCATTGAAACAGAATTTGATGCAGGTTTATTGGCTTTCATCTGATATGAGGATTGGAATGCCATCCTGCAACTGAAAGTAGAGGTAAAATGGCTTTGAAAAGTGTTGGAAAATACTTGACATTTTGTCACTTTGTCTTTTGAATGGCTTTTGTGCTCAGCATTTTTCACCTCCATCTTGTAAATGTGCAGTGGAGAGAAACAGGTGAGACTGGTTGCATCTTGTGATTGATGAACCAATCAGTCGGCTCAGTGATCCAGCAGATTGCTTTATTATTAATGTTAGTGTGAAATGTGATTATACAATAAAGTCGGTTATTTTCTGTATTAACAGTGTTTTCAATACTTCTCATTCAGAGACTAAAACCGAGCAGTGAATTGCCTCTACTCACAGTTAACGTCTGTCAGTCTCCAACCTTGATTAGTTTGTGTCTGTGCCATAGATGTTTGTTGTTGTTTAAAAAGGATTAAAACCACATCAGTGAAACACACTTCTTCACTGGGTGATGTTTCTTCATTACAAAACAACAGACCTACGTATTTGTTAAAATTGTTGCCTCGAAAGCTCCAACCAACCACAAGTTTTTACAGCATCTGAAGTGAACGAGTCAACTGCGCATGCATGAGATCTCGGTGAAAGCTCAAGGAGCTAGCGAAATGTAAACGTAGCAGAGAACTCATGCATGCACAGATGAATAAGATAATCCAGGTTGGAGACAGATAGATATCAACCTTGAGTAGAGGCAGTTAACTGTTGGATTTAGTCTCTGTATAGGGAGTGTTAAAATATTAATAACTTAAAGAAATAACTGACCTCAGCCTCTAAGGTTTGATATATTATGCAGTGTAGCTGCTGATGTCATGGCCTCCTACTGGTGCTGTTGCCTTGACACTGATTACTGTGAAAGAAGAATGAGCCAACTGACATGAGCACAACTAGTGGGATGAATATTTGAGGGGCTCTTAGACTAATGAAGTGTGTGGTGGTCTAAGCAGCAGCCATCATGGGAGTGTCAAATCAGACTCGGCTGATTCTGTCTTAACCTTAAAGGTCCTTGTGAACCACTGTTAGACAGCCTGTCGTCCATACAGAGGACCAGTTAGACATTTTCTCAGAAAAGAGGCCATGATCATTGCTGCTACAAAAACCATATAAGGCCAGCTGAAGTTTGTTTACATCCTATGAAAACAAAACAAAAACTGTATAACTGTGCTTAGGGGCCTAAAACATGGCAAACGTGGGAGGGTAGGTTTATGAAAATAGTCTGTAACAAATGCACCTATCTTTCTGTTTGAGTATTGTTTTTTAAACATTGCAGTGCTCAGGTGTTTCAGGAATTTACTGAGCGTTTTAAGAAAAAATAAAAGATTTTAGACTTTCAGGAGGAACTAATGGGTTTGGAATCGAGTGCCACATACAGGGACGTCGGAAAGCATTGAGAGACAAACTGACACATTGTTGAAATTGGTCTTTTTATGGATTTATTGAGAGTGTTAATACACAGAATGACACCAGACTTCTACATTCTAGAGCTTTGGCTTCTTTATTAAAGGAGAAAGGAATTTTAGGGAAAAAATGTTTATATTTCTCCAACTACAGTGTTGAATTAAGTCTCTTTTTCCCCATCTTTGTAGTTGCACTGAAATATTTCAAACAATATCCAGCCTTTATACACCATTTGAATTTGACAGGTAATGGTGGAAGTAAACGAGTGAATGTTGTCAATTTAGGCTGTGTTTCATATAGGTTTACCATTTCTAGGCCATTTTGTTGTGTGACATCTAACTGGTCCCATCCCATTTTGCTTATTTGATTGTTCCTTGATCCTCGCTTGACAGCCATTCCGGTCCACAATCTTGAGGGATGTCTCCAACCTTTACTCCTGCTCTGAGGAGTGAGGAGGCTGCTGGAGGAGCCACGAGCATCCTTTGCAAAGGTCTTTTTCTGACCTACCACCCCTTTATTGGAGTGTACATACTGCTGCATCCGTGCTGCTGCGTGTGACACAGTGCTGGATCTAAATTTGTCTTCTCTTGTTCTGCATATTTTCCTGCTGGCAGCCTACAAATGTGCTCCAGCGCGGCTCCTCACATCAGGATCTGCAGCACTTCTCTGCAGGCCTGTGTCATATTTATAAGAAGTAAATGGTCTTATACTTGTATAGTGCTTTTCTATGCAGTGAAGCACACTCAAAGTAAATTGAAAATATATTTGTGGATATGTCTGGAATTATGTGTGGTTACATACTGACTGTTGTTACATGTTTGAAAGAATAAATAAATCAAATCAAATCAAAGTGCTTTTACACTATTTTCCATTCACCCATTCGCACAAACAAACATTCACACACTTGCATGG